AGCTACTATCAATAAATGACATGTTACTCTCAATTATATCACATAAGCGTCTGACATATGCCCCTTTATATAAACTTTCCGTGATGACATTGAAAATTTCAGTCATTCCATTACGGAAAAGGTGATTAGTAGGATTTGCTCTTATAAGCCACATCAAAATCAATGCATATATGTGTAAAGATCTTGGTAAATGCTAATCGTATGTATATTCACGAATACGCAGTATATTCTGCCGAAACTGTTCCACAGTTCTTCCTTCTGCGCAATGTAACGGCACAAGTTCAGCAAGGCCTGTTAACCCAAAGATATTAAACGCGCGAACAGCGGTGAGTGTTTGCGGCAGAAGTTGCCGAAACGCAGCGCGTTCGCACGAGATTGCCCCGAGGACGACGGACATTCGGCAGGGCTTAGCGGCATTATGGCCCTTTATCGCCCCGCCCTGCCGCCGCCCCGCCCCGTGGCACCGGCGCGACCCTAATGGCTGCGGCGGAACCCGATTCCGTGCGCGCCGCCCCGCAGAACGTCAAGAGATGAACCGCTTCGCCCCGCGCCGGCGATAAATTGCATCGCGGAGCTGATTGATATTTCATTAGCCTCCACCGCCCGTCCCCCCTCCGCGCCCGGCGCTCCGATAGAATTGACCTGCCGGTAAATTGGGGAACAATGATTGCGACACGAGCTCCATCAAGTTTACAGTACACGGCGCGCGGTGTTAAACCCGATAAAGGGCGGCGAGGTGCGGGTCGGGCGGCGGCGGCGCGGTCGCCCTGTTTACTGCGGGTGGGGTAAGGGGGTGGGGAGCGGCGGATGCGATGGTATTCGCCCCACATGGAGAGTGCGCCCGGCGAACCACGTTCTCGTCGATACTCACGTCGTCAGAGAGAGCTGTGTACAGTGAGAAGAGGGGAAGTAGACCCTGGGTATCTGAACCACGTTCTCGTCGATACCCATGTCTTCAGAGAGAGGTGAGTACAATGGGAATGGGGAAACTTGGGTACCTGAACCACGTTCTCTTCGATACTCACGTCGTCAGAGAGAGGTGTGTACAGTCCCCCTAGACCTGCGTAACTGAACCACGTCCTCGTCGATACTCACGTTGTAGTGAGAGGTGTGTACAGTGAGAAGACGGTGAGTAGTCCCTGGGTATCTGTACCACTTCCCAGTCGATTCTCACGTCGTGAGACAAATGTGTGTACTGTGAGAACAAGTTAAGTAGCCCCTAGATACCTGTACCACTTTCTCGTCAACAATCACATCATCAGAGATAGAAAAGGTGAGAAAAGGCGGTGAGTAGCACCTAACCGACTCGTCCCAACCTAGGTTAGTCGAGGAGGGATCCTGAAGCAGGTAAATCCTACTCTATTCCGGTACCATCCTGGAAAGATGATAGAATATCACCTGACGAAGACGCCCGACACAGAATGTCGGGCAGATGCTTTCAGGGACGTTGCGTTCGGCCGTTTCCAGAAGCCAGCTGGTCGATTCACTTGAGGGGTACCGTGAGCATCTGGCATTCAACGTTGGGGCCTATCGTAAGTCACTGGTAACTTGACCGCTGGTCCCCAAGACCGTTACCCTCGTTGACCCTCGCGCCTTTACCGGCTGAATTTTCTCAGAGCCACCGTTACCACTGAATTTGCAGCAACTCTGACTAGTAGTCGTGTGACCAGTGACCAGGGGTCCTAAGGTTCAAGTCTGACGATGCCGGATTTTCGACTCCTCCAGATAGGTCGAATTCAGTCGCTGGCGACAATTCTAGCGGTCGGCTGCTCTGTCCAGTAGTTTTTCGTGGTATCTCCACTCGATATAGACGAATGCCGAAGCAGTGCCTAAACAAACAGGCCACGGATCCTTCCTTCTTCCTTCCTATCCTCTCCCTTTACACACACTTGCACTTCATTATTACACATCTCGGGAGACCAATCGAGCTTCTCCCTTCTGAGGCGGTGCCCCCAAGAGTGATACCTGGAGTAGGAAATATTCCGCAAGCCGACGTCTCACCATCCAGCAGTGTTGAAACTTCACTATCTCCCGGATTAAAACATTATCTACACAAATGGGACAACTGAGAGTAGCAGTTGATGCGTCCGGAAACATAAATTAATGAATCAGTCAATTGTGGCTTCAGTTGAGAGCGCGCATTCCGAAAGAGGACTCGTGCGCTGGATCGAGGCTTCAGCGCGAGCGCCGACGACGCAGCCCGCACAGTGGTTGTGGCAGTCGCTCCGGGAATCGCCTCCGCCTCCGCCCCTGCCGCCGCGCCGCCCGCGCACAAAAGCCGGAAAGAAACAGGCGATGGGGCGGGGCGGGGTGAGGCGGTAACTCGATCGCCGGCGCCCGCGGCGCGACCGAAATACGGCGGCGGCGGCGTCGCTTTTAGCTCACACAGCGCTACTGCGCGGCTCGCCTTGCGGCGCCACCTCATCGGCCTTCGCCGCCGCCCCCTCGCCCCCACTTCGACGCGCGACTCACCGCCTGGCAGCGGGCTCTGGCTAGCGATGGCAAAAATCTCGATGTTTTTAAACTGTCGATATTTTTCTTCACAAACATCGATATATTATCATCGATGTCTTCTTGTCGTCGTTTTTCAGGTCGATATATTTTTTTCCTGGAATATCGATGTTAAAAAAAAGATTTATATTAGCTTTTTTCTATGATTTTGCACGTGGTAATATTGCAAATATAAAATTAAAATTCAAAATAATAACTTAAAATGCCACTGCCAGTTCATTTGTTTAAACAAAACGAATGATGGTTATACAATCTTCATAGAGCAGACTATCTCTGCCCAGACAGATGGACCTGAAGATATGATATTTTCTTCGCCTCTCTATTTCGCATGCAGTCAACGCATGTACAGTAGATGTAGGGCGCCCCTTGTGTCCGTATCCTTCTACGGCGAAGTGAGGAAACTCAGAACCCTTGAGATGGCCATGAGCGCTCATACTTTCAGACTATTTTATTTATTGTTCTTATTACTTATTAGTTGTTTTGTCAGTACTATCAAATTTATAAATGAATAATTACGATCACTTTGAACTTAAATGATCCGCGTCTCGAACGTTAATATCAGAGGTTACTAAATCACCTTTGAAAACACTGATTTTAAAAACATCCATTTTTTTAGGGTAATATATTATGAATACTGACGTTTTACTTTTCAACATCCATGTTTTGAACATTGATATTTTCTTCTCGATATCGCATCTCTAGTGCTGGGGCCTCAGAGCGAAGGCGCGGAAGGACCTGGAATGGGGCTGCGCGGACGTCCGACGCCTCTGAGCAGCGACGAGGGGGCACCGCCCCCCTCTCCGTCACGTGACTCGCCGCCCCGCCGGCGTGCTCCGTATTCCGGCGGCGTGCGCGGGCAGTGCGCCGGCCGAATTTCGCTGCAGAATTAAGGCCCCAGAAACGGCGCCCCGCCCACCCCGCTCGCGCCCTGGCGGACAGCCTCGCAACTCACGGCGGCCCCTTGCCACTCGCTCTGCACCTTGACTGCACCGGCGGCGGCGGCGGCGGCGGCAAGTGTTCTCTCTCTCCATCTGCAGTAAATTGCGTTGCCAGTGGCAGCCCGGCGGCGGGACGGGGCGGGGCGCGGCGGAGCGGGAGCCCGAGTGCTCTGAGAGCTCGGCGAGAACAGATTGTGACGTCACGGCAGAGCGGGCTGGGGCCCGTGGAGGGAAAGGGCGGCCGCCGCGAGGAAAGAAGCGGAAGTGGGCTAAGATTTGTGACCCCGTGTCAATTCGCTCGGCACAATGGCTGCGTCCCCAGGAAATACGCTCCGACCCGCGGGCGGGCGGCGCGGGGCGGCGCGGGGCCGGCGCGGGGCGGCGCGGGCGGCGCGCGCGGGGCGAGGCGGAGGCGACAATGAAAAGTCGATCTCCATTCAAACGCGGCCTTCGCCCTCGCTTCCTTCCCAGACCGCCCCGCACACCCGCCGCAAGGCGCCCGCTGTTTGCGGGTAACAGCTGTAGCATGTTGGGAGCGTATCCCATTCCGCCGTGGTGGGGGTGAAGGAGCGGGGGGGTGTGAAGTGAAGAGAGGACGGGCGAGGGCGAGCGCGATCCGTCTCGAGCGCAAAGGCGCGGGACGCGGAGCGCGAGGGGCGGGGGCAGGAGAGGGAGGAAACAATCGATCCCCGCTCGCAACAGTCTCAACAACAGCCGCCACTCGCCCTCGACAGCTTCTCAAGCGACTCTCAGCCAATGATCGAATGGATATGCTCGACAATTATGTCGCTCTCTTTTCATATATTAAACGTAGAGCGAAATCTCGACTTTATAGAATCATTACTTGTTATACTGCAAAACATTTCGTCATGTTGAGACCACAATCACTTTTACATTTGAAAAGAGTGCGACGGCGTACGAAAGTAACCGATATCCATCAGGATGTCGATTGAGCATGTGAATACTTCATGTAAAGAAACAAATACAAAATGTAGTGAAATAGAAAATGTCTCAAAAGCATTAAAAAGTAACGAAGCAAAAATTCATTGCAATGTCATATTTTACATTCTTTCGATTTTCGATAATATCCATACAGCTTTCCTTTTATCGATAAAAAGGTTAGAATATGAAAGTATTTCAAAATGAGGTTCCCTCGAAGCTCCTAATGCATATCATAAAATGAATAAATAACGGAGCGGCTACCCATTATCCCGACTTTTTCTCGTTTTGCAGAGCATTTGTTTTATTCATTTGGCAGTTCCTAGATTTCACTGTGGTAAACTACAGACAAAAATATTACTCAACAAATAAAAATTGAATCAATTTGTTTGCTGAACTCATTTTTTATGGAATGATACCTACATATACATCCATGTCAACATTTTCCAACATTTACAGATTTTTCTACAAAATCTCTTTCCCCTCCTTGACTTCTCAATAGCAATTTTTTTTTTCGATTTTCTAGAGAATGGCAAACAATAAATAAATGCATATTTTTAAAATAAAAAAATTAAAAATCGTGGCACGTGAAGGAGAAGGTAAGCGACTCACCGTAGACGGTGAGCTGCGCGGGCTCGGAGACGCGCCGCGCGGCCACGTTCTCGGCGACGCAGCTGTAGTTGGCGGTGTCCTGCAGGCGCGCCTGCCCCACCAGCAGGTGGCCCTCGCTCGACACGATGAGGTTGGTGTCGGGCTCGAGCGGCACGCCGTTGCGCAGCCAGTAGACGCGCGGGGGAGGCACGCCCGGCGGCGGGTGGCAGCGCACCTCGGCCTGCTGCTCCAGCTGCACCTGCTGCGCGTACGGCGGCGCGTCGAACTGCTTCTTCAGGTCTGCAACACGCCACGCACGCACGCCGTCAAATTACTCGCCCCAACACACACACGCGTTCCGAGTAAAGCGCGGGGCCCGGCAGTCGAAGGGGTATCGGGAAGCAAATAGTGATGTCACATGGATTACAAACCATTTTATATTCAAAATGTCGTACGGATGTCCTGAGATTGATCCTGTAACGATCTCGAACGGAATGGTCGCGGGTTCGAATCTCGCCTTGGGCATGGTTGTATTTGTGTTCGTTCTTTCTCCCCACACCATCACATCATACTGACAATCATATCATTAATGATCGCTAATGACCTAGTTGTTGATGCGACCTTTATATAAAACAATAAAAATATTTTAAAAATATATCTACTCAAAACCACGGATGTTTTTAAAAAGTAGTAGTAGTAGTAGTCCTGGTTTAGAAGCATTAACCTCATTCGCTACAAAATTTAACTTGAAATTGGCAAGTTTATTAATTTATAATTAAGATTACCAGGAAGAAAATTTCTTTTAATGAAGGGACGATGAAAAATGTTCGTTTCTTGGAATACGAAGACTGAGTTTTCATCACATATTCTCTCATATTTTAAAAGCGATTGAGGGATTTTTTCATTTGCAATGAAACCAACGAAAATCAAGAGCACGTCGAAATATCGAGCAAAAAAAATCGATGTTAAAAAACATCTGCTTTAAATATCGATGTCTTCAAAACATCAACATCCATGTCGCATCTCTAGAAGAAACAAGATAAGCCATGTCAATTACACGAATCCTAACGCCAATGGAAGATGATAGCATCTCGACGTCGGTGAAAATATGACTTATCTTGTTGCTATCTGTCCATTTATGAAGGGCTCATGGCAGTAAGGAGATAAGTCACACTTTCACCAAAACCGAGAAATCAACATTTACAATTAGCAGAAGCTTTGCTCTGGCTATTGCGCCACATTTTCTCTTCAAGCTCTTCAATTTACTTTATGAAATGTAGTAGGGCTCACAAAAAAGGAAAATTTCAATTTCTGGAATGTAGTAGCATATCGTACATAGAAAAATCTTCCCCCCGGAGACCGTTCCGGGGGCGTTGGGCGACGGAGCGAACGCGAGCGAGCCCCCGCCGGGCAATGGCAAGCAACCGGCGCCTCTTGCGCGAATTCCCCGCTTGTCACAATTACGCCTTTAACAAGCGGGCGCAGGCGCCGCCGCCGCCGGCTGCGAAAGACTAACACGTGGCCGTACGCGCTAATTGACAAGTTGATTGGCTGAAGCGACACGGCGCGCGGGGTCGGAGCGGCGAGGGTGAGCGGAGCGGGACGGGGCGGAGGGAGGGGCGGTTGTCACGCGCAGAGCTCGACTTATCAGGCCGCAGGGGAGCAAAGGGGGGCACTAAATGGAGGAGATAAACAAGAAGAATGGCGGGGAGCGCGCCGCCGGGAGACGCCCATATTTTATACATATAAAAAAAAGACGGCGCGGGAGGGATGACTTTGGCATCCATTCAGCGGGCGGTGCGGGCTATCTATAACGATGGCCTGGAGTGGGAGGGGGTGGGGCGAGGGGCTAACGCAAATTGCCCTCTCCGGGCGGTGCGGGTTGAGGGGGGGCCGTCCCTCTTGACATTCAGCTCCGCGCGCCTAAGGCGTCACCGGCAGCCACGACCTTCAGTAATTGCCGCGGGCGGCGAAGCGGGCCAGCGCGGCGCCCGCTGGGGCAGAAGGCCACAGATCGCCAGAACTCGCTCTATACACAACACGCGGGGGCGGGGGGCAGGCGGGGGGCGGCAGGCGGGGGGCGGGCGGGCGCAATTTGAAAGCGCAAATTTTGAGTTTGAATGGCCCGATTCGATTTCCCGGGGCGAGGGGCGTCGCAACTCACGCGCACGCGACGCCGCGCCCTTCCGGTTTCATCTGCGCCCGGAGCAAGGGCGCCCCCCTCCCCGGGAGAGGGAGCGAGGGATCGGCACGGCATCACTGCCATCACTGCAGTGCCTCTGACCGGGAGGTCCTGACGGTCGGGGTCCCGACGCGGTGGCAGGATTTTCCACACCAGTTAGTGAGCGGGGTCATGTTCAGTCTGGATAAGAATTCTATCGACCGGCTGCTCTGATCAGAAGTTTTCCGTAGTTTCTCCTATCAATATCAGGCGAACGCCCTGGGCAGTACCCTAACAAACGGGTCACGGATCGCGCCCATGTCGGGAGATCCATTGGGAGCTTGTCCCGGTGGGAGCGGCCCGCTGATGGGAGATTCCAGGATGGGGTAAACCCCGTACGCCGACGGTAGATCGGGGCCGAATCTCTCCATCCAGCGGGAAAAGACCACTTTCACCTCCTTGAGGAAACACATGCACCAGCTACGGGACTAACGACACTAGCCGTTGTCGCGCCCGGAATCACTAATGAATCGACCTTCCGGTATATATCAGCGCCCCGGAGTCCGCGAAGGCGCCCACCCAGTGGGGAACGAGAAATCGCCGCGCCGGAAGCGCCCCCACATACCGCACGCGGCCTCCACCGCCGCGCGTCGCCTTCCTTTCGGCGCCCTCCGGCGACGGCGGGAGCAGGATCGGGAGCGGTTGCCGCCGCCGCTGCCGCGAGTAATTTAGTGTCGCGTCGCCCCGTGTCGCATCGCGTCGCGACGCGTCGCTTCGCGTCGCCCGCCAGCGGAGCCGCGCGCTCATTTGTCGGGGGCGTCCGGACAGCTGACAGGCGGCTGCGCGGCGCCAGCGCGTGACCCGCGCTTCCGGGCGGCGAGGCTTCGCGGCGCACAAAGGCGTTTTTGAGGGTGCGCGGGAGATAATCCGCCAGTGCGGGCTGCGGACCCTCGCGACCGACCTCGCCCCCTCGCCCCTCCCGTGCCCCGCCGGCCGAGGCGGGTGGACGCTTTGCCTACACGGCGGCGTAATGCCCAACCCCTGCGCCATCCACCGCCGGGGCCCGTCTTTCCCAGCTCCAGCGAATCCGTACCTTTGGTGCACAAAGCGGACTTTCCAAAGGTTTTCTCCGGGTTCTCTGTTTCCCTTGCCTGCCGATCCTCGTCTCTTTCATCATCGTTCTACTCACTATCATGGCTTTCCTCTACTTACTAGATCATCAGTCATAGGACTCGTTCATCTCAGTAGTTGAAGGATCAGAAAATCGCCGATAGTTAAATTATGTTTTCCGGTATAAATTGCAATTTGAATTTTCTCCTAATTTAGAGGTATTAATTTTCATAAACGTGTCTCTGAGATGATATACAGAGTATTTTTTTAATATTTGTTTATTTAACCAGATCAGTCACATTAGAGGTATTTTAGTGCAGAGTATTTGAGACCATTTAATGAAAATAATAATAAAAAGCAAGGCTTCGGTTTGTGTTACCTAGTCTATATTATATTACCCAGAGTTCAATTCGCAGCAAACAAGACAACTCAAGATAATTAATTTCTACATGAGAATTATTTTCTCAAATATTTAAAGAGAATCAAATCTCAAATATATTTTTAATAATTATTTTTATTGAACTAAATTTATTGAAAAACAACAACAACAAACAAACAATGTTTCGCGACACAATCGGCATAATAAGGGCGTCAGAGACAAAGGAAAAACACATATTCCAAAGTTGAAAACAGGAAAACGTAGCCACATAAAAGCAACAGAAATGACTCAAAACGAGCCTTGTCGAAGTTCAATCATTAGCGTCGAAATTGGGAAACCATATGAAACTTATTAACTCGTGTTTTTCCTTTGTCTGTCTCAAGACTACGTAATGATGCGGCCACATTGTGTCGCGAAACGTTGTGTTTTTTAGTAAATTTAGATTAAGAAAATAATTATGTTTTAAAAAATACTTGATGTTTGATTGTCTTTAAATATTGCACGATATCACTGTCATATAAATATACAGTAAACAACGTTAACACGAATATCAAGAGACTGAAATAATTGGTGTTCTTGTCCTATGTATGTATATATAGTACGTTTCTTTGGCGGGACCCAGTTTTTGTTTGTTTGACGACAAATTTCATGTTAATTAATTCGTGCTAACGAGGGTTTTGTGTATAAATTAATGCTTGGTTTATAATTAATATATTTTCATTAACAAATAAAAAATGTTCAAAAGTCATCTCTGAATTAACGTTTTTTACGAGTAATATATAGTACTGCAAGTGTCTGAAAAGCGTCACTGCCTTCCCCAATGCGCCGCGGAGAGCGCGAGAGAGGGGCGGCGAAGTCGCAGACGCCGGGCCCGGGCGGCCGGCGCTGTTTAGATCCAGAGCAGCCGCGGATTCGAGCAAACAGATGCCGATGCGAGCAAAAAGTCAACGCGCGCAAAGCACCCAACACCCAAGCGCCCGAAATTAAATATTTGCCCACACAAGCTTGCGTCGAAAGCATTTTACAGCCTCTTCAAATATTGCCCTTAATGCTTTTAGAATAATGAAGGCCTCTCTCTTCGGCAAACCGTTACTGCACCAGGTGTTCTGCGAGTGTGTACACGTGGATTGAAGCGGATTCTCTAGTACAATAGACGAACGAAACCATATCACAGCGGTCGAAGTAAGAAGAAGCGTCATACATAGAGTAGTTACAGGAAACGGATAAGCCATTAAAAGCAATAGTGTTCGTTGTATAAATGGAATAAAATTTGCTCCCTAGATGAGAGCCAAAATATCAATTGATATAGGTTTGCATCGTACATCAACAGCAGCATCTGTAAGCAAACAACCGTTCTTCCTCAAACATCCCACTACATTATCATAATGTTCTCGCTACTCAACTATAGTATCGCACCAGGTGTTTTGTGACTATGTACCCATGGTTTGAAGCGGATTTCCTAGTACAAAAGAGGAACAAAATAATATCACACCGGTCGAGGTCAGAAGAAGGGTAATACACAGAATAGTTACCGAAAACGAACAAGGCATTACAAGTAATCATGTTTGTATAAATGGAATAAAATGTGCCACCTTAAAGAGACATAAAATATCAATTGATTCTAGCTTGCATCTTATCAACAGCAGCATCACCAAGTAAGCAACCATTCTTCCCCAAACATCCCACTTCATTATGATAATGCGTATGGCGCCCAACAACAGTATCGAAAATCTGACTTCTCCTTTTGTTGCCCCGCCTCCTCTTTGTAACGTTTATGCGGAGCAGGCCACAACACAACGCGATAATGGGAAGGGCGGTCTCGCAAATAACTGTCGGGCGGGCGGCCTTGCGGCGCACAATGGGGGCGGCCGCCCCACAAAGGCAGGAGGTCGAGCCCCGGCGGGCCCCGGGCCGCTGCGGGTGACGGGTGATGGGTGATGAGCGGGGCAGGCCGCGTACGAGCGGGCATCAATTTCCGCGTTTATCGCACCTCCTCATCCCCCTCCCCCTGCCCCTACGGGCAGCGCGCCAATCGGGGGCCCCAACCCACCCCCACATACACACACACACACCCAAGCTGCGACCAAGGCTGACGCGAGGTGTGGGAGAGCTGATGATTTGGGAAAGGGAACAAGCCACACAGTTCACACATATATTTGATGATGCGTTCGTCTAACCTTTTTGTACATTTGGAGTAATTTAAGTAGATTTTCTTATTGTCTTTCTTGCATATTTTAGTTTCTGAAGCCTATTTTTGTCGTATCCTACTTTTGGATATCCCCCCCCCCATCATTATTATATTTCTTCTCTTGGCACCGATCTTGGTCAAGCTGGAAACTTCTTCAAGAATAGGCAACACAAACGCAGGATCGTGTTTTGTATATCTGAGGATACGGAGGTGCCAGGGACAGATAGTATTAAAAAATCAAAATTAGAAAGGAAGATGATAACAGTCAAGATTTTTGATTTTCTTTCTTCATTAGGCTTCGATAGGATTTCTCGGCTCGTGAGGAATACTTTTGAATATCGCTTTCGATACCTTTTATGACAAAAGACCTCGGCGTATGATATTCTCTTCTCAGTGCTGGCGA